AGCACCTCCTCATAAGATGCGCATAAGCCTCTAATGTACACCAATATTCTTTCGCTTCAAATAAAGGTACGCTCCCGCAAAAGCCGTTTTCGGGGAGGCCCGGGGGGGGAGGAACTACAGAAAAGTGGTGGCGTCAGCCGCTCCGTCAGAAACCTATTTGAGATCCATTTTAAAGTTTCACAAGCTTGTGTCTTGGAAAAAGGACGAAGTCCTGGACATCTGGGAATGACCAAAATAGTTTACATTTGTCATAAAAATCAAGCATGCCTTGTGAAAACCCTCCGCTCTACTAAAAATTTTGATTCACAAGGCATACTTGATTTTATAACAAATACAAATTATTTTGATCATTCACATAAAGAAACGAACTGCCTGCATAACCTACAATCAAAATTTAGCATCCTCCCCAGGGTTCACCAAGAGCTAGCACCAGGAAAATTCCAAAACGAAGTCCCCTTTGATCTTGAAAATTTCGTAGGAAGTCTTCTCTGACTCTAAACCCTTGACGTAAACCCTCAAAAAACGAAACGTCGACTTGAGAAAAAAACGTCAATTTTGTGTCTCTTCGAGCATAACAACGATAGCCCTTCTGCTTTTTATCCCAAAAACGATATCCAGCTTATCCCAGCTGAGGTAAACCCTGATCCTCCCTCTCCTTTCACTCAGCTACTATAATTACGTATGCTAATGAAGTTAAAAATCTGAGAATCGAAAGTCTAGCCCTTTTTCTCCTACCTTATTGTACTCTTCTTTATGATTATGATCGATGATCATGATTATAAAACTGATCGAGTGAAGGATAAGTCAATACATACTACGCTGCTGCATAAGTTATGTGCGACTTTTTTTACCTCATGTTTGAAGCAGCTGCTCTAAGAGGATTTCACTTTTAGTGTGATACTGTTTAGATCATTAAAAAGCACTTTTCTTGGTCTTTTTGATATCATATCAAATACCCATAAATTCTTAACGAGATTGCAGGCCTAAGATCCCCATGCTGCCGAGATACGTTCTCACCTAAGAGATAGGTTTTTGTAAGAAAATCTCCACAATGCGCACTTCAAGTCAAGTTCTTTCATTGGGTGCGGAATAAGGATGTAAAGACTAGTATATACACAAGTTCAGTTGCATGAAGAAAACGTCTGGAAAGTAAAATTTGCTGTCGAACATTATTTTTTTTTGCATAAATGTTCTGCAAGCAACAACTTCCTGCAAATAAAAGCAATCGGTAAGTCTAAGGTTGGAGGTGCTAAAGTAAAGCAAGAAATAGGAGAGCCCTATTTACCAATTTCTCTTCGCTGCTCGCGTCAAGTGTGAAGTTTTCATAATTCGTAAATGAGCATGTACACATGTACCGAAGCGAAGTCGAAAAGCGGCCTATTTTTTGTTCCGTCAAAAAAATCTCTCGGCATCGAAAACTATGGGCTCATATAGGTTGCATGATAATCTACGAGAATTTCTCTATCTATGGTTGACCAATATGCCTCTCTCTCGTATGCTAAACTTACCATCTCGACAAAGATAGGTCTAAAGAAGAATACGCTGTGAAGTTTTCGAGTTCTTGATTCTTCGTTAACGGGGATTTTCGCAGTTTCAATATTTCTTTGATAGCCAATAATTACTCAACACACGGAAACTAAGATCCTGGAGAAATGTTGACTTTGAAAGAAGTTATGACATTTTGAATTCAAAAATTCAAATCGGAAAGAACTTATGCAGCAACGTAGTACGTAATTTGAACTTTGAACCCAATCAAATAAATCTCGAACAAAGTTCGACAAGTAGGAAAAAGTTCGCTTACGTATGCATCATCATTGTAAACATTTTGCACCTCTTTTGATCTACTTAGGCGCGAATTTCATTTGCGGCTGAAGACGTAAATGTTGTTGACGATCGCATTTTGTCTCAGACATTGGAGATTTTCATGCAATTTAGCGATGAAGACTGCCTAAGGCAACGAAATCGCGGGGTTTCGCTTATGAACTCTCTTCATTTGCCCTGGGTGTCTAATAGTTCTTTGCGTTTAGGACAACATTAAGAGTTTTCGGTGAAACTTGGTGCTCTGAAGTTTACATAGCATTTGTTTTATATAATGTATAATGTTGGGGGCTCTAATTACCAGCCACAAAGTTTCCTGCTGTCATGATGAGACTTCAGCTTGTGACTCATATTTTGCTACAATTTCAGTCTTTTTCCGCTTTTCCAGCAGCATGAAGATTGTTTGCTAGAATTTTGCTTATTAGCTTATTGTTGTCTGAGGAAAAGACTAGGAAATAGCACGGCTTCCTTGTATCTTTTTTTGAGGATGTAATTCATTCAAAAATTTTTACGCTTTATATCATCAACAGTTTCGCCTCTGTAGCTTAATCACGAACAATTATCAATCCCAGTAATCAATGTATTCCAAAAAGGCTCCTTTGCAGTCGTCATCTCTTTTCACGGTTTATGTTGTCAGTATCGCCCATAACTATGAAGCTTAATCACTAACAATTATTAGTCACAGTGTTTATTTCACGAATAGAGCACTTTTGCAGCCTCTTGAATCTCGGCTGTTGAATGAAAGTAAAAAATGAGTTCGTTAAGTTATTGATGTCTTTTGATAGTCACTCGAAGGCTTTCAAACTTCTACCAGGATCTCCACTTTTCTAGCGAAAAAAATCTTGCCAAACGCTGCCACCATCTTAATATCTCAGAACACTTCTTCTTTGGAACTTTGTATTTTCCTGCGTTTCCAGGCCACCTAGGTAAATCCCTGTAATTACCAGAGCCATTATCTAATCTTACTGTCAACGAAAATAATGGAGATCGCTTCGCCAAGTTTCTAATTGTGGGGTATGGGGTAGCAACTGGGCGTAAAGTGCGTGGTAGAGAAAAAGGGGAAGTAGCAAGCAGGAATTTTCAAGAATGAGAAAAGGCCGGAGAAATTGCGGAAAGTGAAAGAGGCTCGCTAGTTTTGCGAGTTATGTTCTTCAACATATTTCTGTACCGGTGGCGCACCGAGGACATCCGCTCGGGGGGGGGGGGGGGGAAGGCGACAAAAATTTTTTACTTTTGAAGGTGCGTGGGTGAGCCATGCACTCCGAAAAAGTTTATGGCATGCTTTCCAAAATTTTCGTTGCACCCCCGAAAAAAATTCCTTTATACGGCTAAAATTTTTTTTTTAAAAATCCTAAAAATTATTTTAATCAATTACAAGTGTAAGCAAGTCACTTGCACGTTTCTATAACTGATGTGAATAACTTTCAAAAATATCGCGACCCATTCGGGGGGGGGCCCTCTGTAAGCCACTGTTCTGATGACTCAAAGCAACTTCTAAAAATTTCGCGATCCCATTAGGGGGGGGGGGGCTGGGTACGCCACTGTCCTGTACATATAATAGAAAGTTCAGTTCTGTACATATATTAGAAGGTTCTACGTAACAGCGGGATTAAAATTTGAAATTTAAGGGGTAGTAATAGGTTTCAAAATCATTTTTATGATTCAACAAATAATTTTGCAAATTAATTGCATATCACGTTCAAATTCCCCTTCGTAGAGGAAAATCCCCAGTCACTTTTCTTTTTTGCACTGAAATCTTCTCGTCATACTAGTAACGGCAGTCTATAGACCTTTTCAGCCTTGCGCTCACATGAAAGATAAGAAAACATTTTTTTTAACTGAATGGGGCTTTTAAAGAAAGAGACTCTTCGTTTGCATATGAAACCTTACACTTTCATTTGGAAGATACAATTTTTTTGGAAATGCCTCTTTTTGCCGCTGTCAGTCCTAGACTCATCAATTTACCAAAGTGAGCATATCAATTCCAGTCTATCCAAATAAATTCACAGGCATGCCCATCTACGGAGCTTTGTGAGTTAAATATAATTTCCTATAACTTTTTTGTAATGTGGTAAAACTAGCATCTTTACTCAAACAAGATTTACTTATAACCTTTTCAGGATTGAAATCCTGAATCATTGATTGAAATAAGAGCTTGTCTTAGCTTTGCTGCATTTGTTTAACAGCTTCCATAACTTTTCCAAAAAAAAACTGACTTTTCCATTTCGAACATTTTCGAATGCCAGTGTATGTCGTAAGAAAACTTTAAGAAATACACATAAATCGCTAGAAATATTGACTCAAGTTCTCCTTGAAGAAGTAGATTATCAATTTTAGAGAAACAAATCTTTGACTCTAATTTGATGCAAGTCAAGGTGATAAAATTATATCTACTATTGTAAATGTAGTGAGGTAGACAATAAATTTTAGAATTTGTCTCCAACTTGTAAGCTTTTGCTTTCTATTTTTTTTCTACCTCGATTTTGTTGTGAAAAATGAAAAATGCAGTTTACATGAGCTTGATTAGAGACATTGCAAAGTTGTATCAAATGCTCTTTAAGCTCTTTTTGTTGCTTTTGCTAGATTTCGCGTCCGTTTAAAATTTTATTTAAAAAAAAGCTAATTGAGTGACTCTCTATCGCAAAAACGAGACTCACTAAATAAAAGCAACTTTTATGATGAATAATCATGAAAGAGCTCTCAATATCGGATTTCGTAATGCAAACAAATACAGTGGCAGATGAGAGTCTAGGTACCCCTTGATTCAACTGGCTTGGCGGCTGAAGGGGGGAGGGGGCTTCGTGACCTAGATAAAGCTAGGTATAATCAGACAGCACGCGCGCGAGAGAGACGCAGGCCGCATAGCAAGCGGGAGCGGCCATTTAGGTCAGAAAGCCCCGCCTTCCAGCAGCCAAGCCAGTTGAATCAAAAGTTATAATCACTCTAAGATCTTAACCTTGATAATAAGTTGCAATTTTTAATCTCCAATTGATCTTTTTTTCGAGCCTTTCCGCTTCTGACGTCAATGCTAATGTGAAGTTTTTAGATTCGATTTGTTTCAAAGATTTTCTACCCTTGCTGTTTTCACCAATTTATCACATTTTCGCGCATTAATTTGTAGCCTCAGACGCAACAAACAATCTTTTAGATCGAACGAAACTGGATCACTCTCGACCACTACTATGCTGATGCCAATGCTGCTGTTGAGTTCCGTGTGAGTGCAAATTGATTACAGAAAAATTTTGAAAATTATGTCTCTTTTCATTTTTACTCTAATTTTTGCCCATTTCAGAAAAGCGAACGATGCAATTCGCAGTAAGTCGTTACCGCCGTACATGGACCAATTACTGAATGCTGGAAGAAGTGTTTACGACAAACATTCTCCACCAGTTCAAGATTGTAAGGAATCTCTACACTCTTCAATAGTTCTTCATAGTTTACCAAAAGTAATGACTAAAAATAAATTAGTCAGAAATATCAATATTGCCAAAAGAAAAATTCTAAAAAAACCGATGATCGGTAATCAAAATCAGTTTTCGTTTGCATGAACTCCTTAACTCAGCTTACAAATTAAGGAACTCGTGGGTGCTCTTTCTAGCAAATCAATTGCAGCATTACCAAAAACAATATTTCTCAACAAAAGATACACTAGAGCATGTTTTTCAATGATACTAAAGAAACAAACAAGGCTATATTTCCATGTGGGGGGAGAGGAAGCCGGAAGAGATTTTCGGTACTTCCGCCTTGCTCCATGTAAGGATCTTGTTGTCTTCCATTATTGCCTTTCATAATATTCGATTGAAAAAAGATTCTATAAAATCAAAAAACGAACTAACACCAATATGTCCTATGCTAATTAGTCGAGGTACCAGAAGAGAAACCGCGTTTGAATGAGTGTGCTGGATAAATTCCGCAAATTCTGAGATTGCAGCTTCTTCATTTGCAGCAAATGAACCAACCAAAGTACGACTAGCAATGTACATTGAAGGCATGTCATCGTTCAGGACACAGACCATGGTAAGGCTCTGAATTCGTCTAAGCAATTTGAGTGGTTAGGTAAAAACAGAAGTGTTCGATTTTTCTTGTCTAGTTCAGTATTAGTCCACTATAAGCTTTAGAGTATGCAATTACGTACCCTGATACGCAAACTTCCAGGATTTTCAATTGGACGTCTACTTCCAGCAATTCTGGAGAGATCCGAGACTGGCTCATAACGAGAGCGGGTGAGTAATGTATAGTTCCCAAAACTTTGTTAAAATTGAGTTTCGTATCGAGTCACTTGAACGATGCAAACATGTCTTTGTTCGTAAATCGCTTTGAGTGCCATCTTTTTTGGGTTTTCTTTTGCAACATTTCTTTTGTGTGGACTTTCTCAAGTGTATTCTTGTATGTGTTGCACGAAAAAAACTTTTTTAAGCTGTAGAAAAGGCATCAAAAATTATCGAGAATACAAGTTATATGCACATATCTCTGCGTATTTGTAATCATTGAGAGTATCACTATTTTCTAGACGTGTACTCATCCGCGACAAAGACATGCTGGGTAAAATGTGGCATCCAGACGTCTACTTTGCCAATGCTAGGATAGCAGAGTTTCATGAGGTCGGAATAGCTTACGAATTCGTATTGAGCAGCTTATGCGCTGACTCATAATCATTGATTTGCCCCTTTTGTTAGGTAACGCAACCAAACTTTCTTCTATGGATAGAACCGGATGGCTCAATCCTTTACGATACTCGCATATCTATGGTAGTAGTGTGCACTCTAAATCTCGAAAAATGGCCTTTGGACTCACAGCGGTGTCATCTGCGGATTTTGAGCTGTTTGTTTACTTCTTAAGACTTTAATATCTCTCTATGGTCCTATGGTATGGTTCTTTCTCCTTCAGACGCCTACACTACCGATCAGCTGCAAATCGAATGGATTGGGGAAACACCCATAACCAGAAATATGCAGATCGCTATGTCCGACATGCACATTGTTGATCTTTACCCGGGTTGGTGTGATGGGAATTATTCCACAGGTAAGAGTAGTTCTATTGTTCCTTCCCCTCTCATATATCAGATCAGCTCACAATGGAAGTCCAAAGATTATTCTTTTGCGGAGGAGCGATAAAATTCAGAAAGGGAACTTTGGGAAGTTTTTTTTGGCATAGTCATTTTTGTTTGAAAAAGAATCAATTTGACTGTTTAAATACATCATAAGTGGCTGGATAAATCTGGGTAAATTTTATTCCGATTTATGCTGCTAAATTTTTGTGTGTTGGTCATGAATTATGTATGTAATCATGTTCTCTTCTCTTAGTATGTAAACAGTAAAAAGCAAAACAAAATTTTTAGGGACATGGAGCTGCGTAACCGCCGAATTCTTTGTGAAGAGGGAGGTCACCCATCATGTTATGCAGTCATATGTACCCACCACTTTGATCGTTGTCATTTCTTGGTCAGTCAATTTTTGCTCCGAGTTCATAAAATGAAAAAGAAAATTCGTTAAGCATATTTCATGAATCAAAAACAAGTAAAATCATACTTATAAATAAGCAAGTTTTCATTTTCCTGTGCAAATGCGAGAACTCTCCCGAAATTTCTTCAAAAGGTTGAGTTTCTTCTGTGGAAAAGGAATTCTTCTATTCTCGCTAATATATAGATTTCTGCGATTTTCTTTCGATTGGTTCGAATTATTGTTAGGTAATATATTGTAAAGTGTTGATTTTAGGTTCTCTTTCTGGTTGGATGTAGAAGCTGTTCCGGCAAGAGTTTCACTTGCTATCACTACACTTTTAACGCTCTCGACACAAGCCAGTGCCGCTAGAATGGCGCTACCAGAGGTCGGTATTGAGCTCACTTTACCGAAATCAAATAAAAATTGTTAACTATACAGGAAAATGATTTTAAAAAATTCCAGTATTATATTTAGGTGTCATATATGAAAGCAATCGACGTCTGGATGGGAGCCTGTATGATGTAAGTGATGATGACATTTATAGTAATGTTAGTCAATTCTATGTCAAGATGCGCCATTGCACACAATATACACATTGCGCGTCAAAAAACCGGTGTTTGTCAGATTTCACTCGCGGAAAAAATGAAGGGAGGAAATTACACCAAAAACTTGTGCAGAACATAAGCCTACCCTCAAAAATAATCTACCCTTTGATTCAAACGGACTGACGGCTGGAGAGCGGGGCTTCGTGACCTAGTTAAGGCTAGAGAATGATCAGAGAACACGCGCGCGAGAAAGTCGCAGACTGCGTAGCGGGCGCGGGCGGCCTTGAAATGGTCCAAAGCCCCGACTCCCAACTGCCAATCCAGTGAATCAAAGGTTAATTTCAAAGCGCAAGTGCACAAAATCAAGGGCCTGCTCTATTGTGAAATTCCTTTTGCATCAAGTCAGCTGTTTTTGTTGAGAATTGATGCATCCTGCAGTACCGACGCAAAAAATATAAAAATAAATATGGAGAAGGTCTCGCACAGAAACATGCCTATTTTCAGGTTTGTGTTCGGTGTAATGATCGAATTCACCATTGTCAATTACGTCCAGCGTCAAGGTAGGCATTTAGTCGCAACCATAGCAGCCTAAGTCAAGGATTACAGCATCTACCACAGATGCTAAAACGAAGAATGTTCGAGAAAGTTTGACTATGCGTGCGCAACGAATTCTGCAAAGATGTTGTGGAAAAGAAGATCGAACCATGGACGAGGTAAGCATATAGTTCATAGGAGAGGTGTGAAAGGCGGCAATTTTAAATTCCGCGTCTAAATTGGAAGCTCCGCCTCCAGCGTTTTTGGCGTCTTAGAGGACAGAAGAACGAACTCGCCATTTTGGAGCGCATTCGCTGACAACTGGTCTTGCAATATTGTTGCATGTCGTTCAGGACCAGTAGTCTGAGGCGGCCCATGGCGGTGTTCGTTCCCCTACCTCAGCTGAGATCTTGGTTCAGATTCTCATAAGATGGTGATAAGATGGCGCAGCGCAAAAGTGGGCGGTGCTTCAAGTTGCTCGTGTTTCGCATTCGCGCGCAGAGATCCATTGCGAACGATTAAATGGCGCGTGTTTGGGAGAGACCACAGACGGTTAGAGAAATAGGTGCGTTCCGTTGAGAGACGCAGCACGGTCCGTGAGGAGCTCAGTCTCTGCGTGCGATAAATCGGCTAGTCACCTTCCGCACTTTTCTTCCTCATTCCCCGTTCATAATGTAACCTGTGCGAAATTAGCAGCTTCTCCTTTTAGGAAGACCTATTGGACCACATCCTATGCAATGGAAATGCATACGATCCATTGCCAGGAGAGACTGTGCTTGCTGCGCATGACAATAGCGATTTCAACTGCTCTCCCAATCCAGCCAGAAAGGTTTTCAAGAATTTTTTAATGAGAATGTCATCCATAAGCAGTAATTCAGGTTGTAAATAATGACAGCGACATACTGTCGTCAGACTCAATTAATGAGGTTTGGAAGAAGAGAATCTTTGACAAAGCGGAGAGGTAAGCTGACCTTGTTCAACTGGCTTGGCGGCTGGAAGGCGGGGCTTTGTGACCTAATTAGGGCCGCTCGCGTTCGTAACGCAGTCTGCGTCTATCCCGTGCGCATGCTGTCTGGTCATTACCTCGCTTAATTTAGGTCATCACGAGCCCCGCCTTCCAGCCGTCAAGTCGATAGAATTAAAGGGTTTGAGATTCATTCGTATATGTAAACATTTCGGAAGACAGAATCATTCCTTTCGGATGGAGTATTAGAGCTCCCAAAACTTTTTTGAAGCTATTCGAACTTTTCGAGTCTGCGCCCAACGTTTATGAAAGGAAAGGATGCGACAGAAAAGTTCCGAAATTTCCAAAAATTTTCATAGTACAACATTTAATATGTTGTGATGAGGTTATTCTCATTAGTAACTTGCGTTAAATAGCTGTGAACTGCAGGTTAGCTAATTGGACCGATGACGATCGAAGAGGATCAATTCGAAGGCGGTCGTCGCTTCTGTTGTCCAAAATAAGCAATGATACTATAGTATCAAGTAAGTCATATTTACAATTAGCTTAATTCAAAATTATTTTCTACAAGCAAGACTTTAAAAAATAATCTCGAAGTCGGAGTGAGAAGTTTTTATTTTTACTTCAAGAAGAAAGAAATAACTATAAAAAGTTCAATGCCCAATGAAACAAACATGTACGTTTTGATTCACCTGGCTTGGCGGCTGGAAGGCAGGGCTCCGTGACCTAACTGAGGCTAGGTAGTGGTCAAAGAGCACCCGCGCGGGAGAGACGCAGAGTGCGTCGCGGGCGCGAGCGGCCTTAATTAGGTAGCAAAGCCCCTCTTCCAGCCGCCAAGCCAGTTGAATCAAAGGTTGCAAACTTGACATATCTTTTTGATGAATACGGTGCTTTGAAATACCCAAGATGAGTTTTCATTACCGAGAAGGCAGTTTAGCTGTGAAGTAGCACAAGAAGTGTAAGTAAGCAATAAATAGCAATAACATTATAGATAAAAAAAATGTATGATCAAGTAAGTAAGTATCTAGACAATACCGCTCACCAAATGTGCAAAATTTCCGTGAATGTCGCGAAATTCCCAGAATGTCGCGGACTTCCGCGAAATTCACGGATTTCCGGGATATGCAAGGAAATTTTGCATACTCTGTGAGCAATATTGTATAACAGAAAGACTTTCTAGTGACATTGAATAACCTTACATTACCTGTTTTATCTCAAAAGTCAGTAATCCTTGTGAAACTTTCAGATGCCGAGAAAAATAGTTTACGAAAGAAGGCTCAAGAGAAATGGAAATCAACGATTAAGCAGGTGCAAAAATCTAAGTAAGTTGCGGTTGTACTCCGCCTTCACTCAAATGCTTCCGAATCCAAATAATTCTAGGAAAGATGCTCAGCGAATGAGAGCCAAAGTGATTGATCAAACGAGTCGATGGCTGTTTCCACTCAGTTTTCTTATATTCAATGCTATCTATTGGTCTTACTATCTCTATTTCAAGACATGACCTTTCAATGAGTTGTACAGGTTGTATGGGGCTCCCCATTTCATATATACCACAGGTTGTCAAGCTACATACCAAAATGGGCTGACTAAGAAAGGACAACTTAGCTCGGCCTTTTGAGAGGATGCATAAATGTTCGGAATCAGTTTCGAACACAGATTTTGAATATGCTATTCCTAGCTGCGACACATTATTTCAAAACAAGTTATTTTTTCTGTGCAAAATTTGCATGCTCATAAACTTACTGGCATTACGGCATCATTATCCAAGCGCTACTGCACTTGCGTTGAGTTCCTTGTTACTGGCAGGAAGATTCGATTTGTTATTTCGATATCCTTCTATTTTTGAGCGGATTTCTACCTACAGGCAGTTTTCCTAGGTAGCAAGGCAAATCTGCACGAAAGAAAGCTCATGACTTGCTTTAGGATAATGCGCTCCAACTAAGAACTGCATACTTGGAATCAGCGATTCGAACTAATTGCCATATTAGGTTGGCCCAAAAGTTTTTCGAGAATTCATAACTTCTGGTTTTCCCAACCGAATTGATTGCTTTTATTTTTGTTTGGAAGAGCAAAACATGCTCTCTATAGTAATGTTTTGGCGGCTTACTGATGATATACATTGAGTGCGGTCCAACCTATTACGTCTCTATCAAAAGGCAGAGCTAAGTTAGATACCTTCTTGTGTGCATCATGAAGACCACCTTGATCGACACTCACTCGTCAAAACTCACTTTTGAACTAAGTTCAGTCGCTGGAAATTACTTTGTTATCGACGATTACGAGTTGACGTATTATTGTCGCAAAATTTTTTGCAAAAGTCAAACATTGTTAATTTCTCATTTTTGTGCACCTCGTTTTCATTAAAAACCTTTCCTGCATGTCTCTGCTGCATTATGTAACTCAAACACATTTTCGACATTGGAAGATGAGGCATTGCCATTGATTGGAACAAGAACTTTTTGATGAAGTTGTCCATTTTTCATATTGTTTGTTGCAATTACATGGGAACCATTTGCTTGAACACAATAACAGAAAGCAGTTGCTTGCGGTTCGCATCGCTGCGTGATTTTATAGCCTAGAGCGGTTGCCGCTGCAGGACAAAAAAGAAGTGACACAAGAAGGAGTAAGTTTGTCAGAACTGTAAGATTGATAGTATTATTAGCAAGCGTAGGTTGAGATTTCTTGTAAACGCATTAACGTTGCCTGGGGCAAAATAGCGCCTTTTGTGATGTGTTATACAGAACACTTTAGCTGCTAGGGATTTATGAAAATTCGATTTGCGCACGTTGATACTGTGGTTTAGTGCTGATGATTATAGGTACGGCGAAGTGAGCCAACAGAAATCTGGGCAGTAAAGGTATTCAAGTCACAACAGGTCATGCCATAAGCATGACCTGTTTGACCGTTTACGGTACTTTGGCAGAAAGTGATACGGTTATGAGGAAGTGCCGACTTTGCACAGTCCGGCCAGCGAGAGAAATAAAAACAGCCAAATGAGGCACGAGGACAAAAGATAAATCAGAATCACTTTCTTTATTGGATATTAGAGTGGAGTGAGTTTGCAGACGCGTTACGGACTGTGTCAGAAGTGATATAACGGCGGGCCTGATTTTGATTCAAGGGTGAAGCAGGATCCTGGTACTGAGATAACTTTACATTCACGCCTCCAGTTGGAGGTAAAGTGGAACACAGGTCTAGCTTCGTCTCCATTCTAGTATGTGACTAAATCTTTTTTCTGCGAATGCCGCTCTCTGTCGACAATTTAAGCAGTTGCCTGAGAACAATGCTTCCTGGGCTACATGTATCAATCTCCCATTTCGTGTTCGGGCGATCATTTAATATCAAAAATGATCGACCGGGAAGGGGCGCTCGACTCGTGATGTAGGAATAAATAAATAATAAAGGGTTACTATTAAGCCTGTTTCGCCTCTACCCCTATACAGGAATACAATAAGTGATAACCACTCCCGAGGCTCTTCAGTAGGGAAGAGTGGTTAACTAACAATAGTGGATACTGCTGGAAATTTATACCAGTTTGGTAGGGCAAAAGATCACAAGATCAGCAATGATCTAGTCTATCTATTACGAATTTAATGAAATGTTTCATATTTTTGAAAGACTGAAGCTCTATATATTTGTATGAAATACATTTATTGAATGTGAGGCATTTTATAAAAGCATTGATGATTATATTTTGTGTGTAGTCTAATTCCTCTAGTTGTTTTAAAAGCATTAATAGTCTATGTAAAAAATTATCAAATTTTGTACATGTTCTATAAATCCTTAGAATTTCACTGTATATAATGGATGTTTTAACCTTCACACTTATGTGTGAAGACGCATGTGTAAATCTATTAACTTTAAACGTAAAGTAATCTGTTTTATTGTAATGTTGCGTAATAATTTTATTGTTTACAATTCTTATATTTAAATCAAGAAAGTCACATTCTAATTCGCTTTGGTGCGTATTTTTCAACTCTAATATATTATTGTGTCAGTCAACCATTTACTTATCCTTTTCTCTTCTAAATTATGTATAATCAGTGAATCATCCATATATCTGAAAGGTTTGAACAAGATATCATTTTCATGGTGATTAATGGCAAATTTATATTCAAAGTAAGATAACGTCAAATCTGCAAGAATAGGGCTGGCATTACGCCCTTGTGGAACTCCTACTTTTTGTATAAATATGTGGTTTGCAATTTTGCAATAGCTGTTTTCTAATAGATATTGATCAAGGTACAAAATGTCTTCAATTTTATAAACCCTTTGTTTTGTTTTTTCATTATAGAGGTTACAATAGCTAACTTTGCTATTATTACAAACGACATATTTACTGTTACTATTTTTGAAACATATTTTAAGAATCTCTTTAGATTGCTGATAATGGTATTATGAGGAATGTTTGTAAACATGTTAGTGAAATCGGCTGAAAACAGTTAAGGTTATTCGAATTAATGTGGTTAAATTTGTGGGAAATATTAATATCATTTATAGACCAATAGGTATCAAAACAGTTTTTATTAATGCTTACAATTTTAGTAGGTTTCGGATAAAGTTGAAAGTATGCATTAGTTCTTCTGATAACGGTTTAATGCTGCTGTTTGAAGCACCAGTAATAAATCTAAATTTAAGCGGATTTTTATGTAATTTGGGAATGCAATAAATATTTGGAATGGTACAGACTTCGTTAATTTTGAGATTATGGGTTTTAGAAAAATTCAGATGTTTAGTAGTGATGGTTCCAGTGTCTAATGTTCCAAGATAATCATAGATAGGAGAAGTACTTGACATGTTATTTAATCCCATTTCTGACATTAACATTTCGAGATAAAGTTTTTTGCAAACAATGCCATAATTCGAGCTAGCTTTGTCCAAAGGGCAAAATATGAAGAACTTTTGATAGTGTTTAATATTAGAAATAGGAAGGCTGTAACACTTATTATCAAGATTATAAATTAATCTGCTATGGTATCTAAGAAGGTGTCTATATAATTCATTTTTTATGGTAGTCGAAACTACATCATCCAAGGAATATTTTGTTTTGTATTTTTTGCAAATTATGTTAAATAAATTAAGCCATGAACTTTTGATTTGTTCTGTAGAATATCTATATGGAAATCTTACTTTTGTACCTTTATTCAAAACATCATATATAGGTTCAGTTTTAAATATGTTTATATCTCCAGTGACAATATGTCTATATGTAGGGTCTATGTATTGTTGGTAATTTTTACAAACGCATGGAACATCGTTTATGTTGAGGTTGTGAAGATTATTAAGAAATTTGTTATAATTGTATATATTACAAGAAGCATGTTTTGTGTATTCATATATTAGTCTGATAGGTTGATAAGGTTTAGAGCTGTATGTTTCAATGAGGTTTATGATAGATGTGTTATTAACTATTTTGTTAACATTGGTATTATCTAAAATGCTATTATATTAGTATTAGTTAATAGTAAGGAAATTTGATATTCATATATGTAGTGATAGTTTTCTTATCGGGTACTTTGCTGAAATGGTAATGACAGAGAATACTATACAATGCATATTTAAAACTAGAAGGAATATCTAGAGATTCAGGACTAAATGTTGATATATTAATTAGTGAGGAAATATAATGTTTATTTTTACTTTTGATGAATTTATAGAGTTCATAATATGTAGGGGAATCCTTAATGAAATTTTTGATTTCTTCAAGTGTAGATTGTCTGTGTATATGATGTTTTCTTTTTTTATTATACCTTCGATTGCTTCTGTCTTTAGATATGCTAAGATTGAAAAATGGATGATTACTTCTATGATTTAAAGGGTTCTCGATCATAGTTAGATTACCATAGCCTTTTATATTATCATTAAAGCCGAAAGGCATAGGTGTCATCAATAGTTTTATCCAAAAGAGTTCTTTTTCTCTAAGTATATTCAGATCTATATTTTCCGGTGAATTATCCAATATTATTGCTGTAATATTACTGGGATTACAACTACTATTTTTGAAATGTTTATAAAAAAGTTTATTATCTTGCTTACTTTTGATTCCCCGCATATGTTCTCTTATTCTAACACTAAGTTTTTTTTTAGTAATACCAACATATTGCAGTCCACAACCACAACATGTAAGGCAATATACTAAGTGAGTTGAATTGCAGTTTGCATTAGAAGTCTTATACGTTTTGATGTTTAGATTGGTCGTGTTAGATTTTATACAATTGTTAGGAGTTAATATTTTCGTACAAATGTTACATGAATTATTACAAGTAGTGCCTAAATTGTCATTGCCAAACTGCAATAGGTTGTATTCGCCGTTTACCTTAATCCTTTTGAAGAACGTACCCTGAAAATAAGAAGATGGAGTGTAACTGGTTTGCGTACTTTTATTTTTGAGCCAAAAATCTAAGGTAAAGAACGGCCTAATCCCATACCAGAGGGAAGGTTACGCTAGGTTTCGGAAGGGCTGCTTCCAGGGGGTGGCGCTCCCTAAAAAAAAGGAAATTCGCGGGCTCCCAACTCGGACGGGCAGCAACACCCCTTCTCGTGTTCTGCTAGCCTTTTTTTAGCAGAAGCTCTCCAATCTTTTCCTACACTCCATTTTTTGACATTCCCGCTTACAAAAAGACGATTACAAGGTAAAGAATCAGATTGATTGCGTTTCTGGAAATGTTGAAGAAAATTAGGCAGTATCAGAGTCTCTGATCGGGGGGGGGGAAGGGGCGAATCTCTGAGAAAAAGCGTCGAACGGAAGATAATTTCTTAGAACTTACTTCATTGTCAATGTTCTCTCGACAACAATTTGAACGACCTTGCTTTAGGTGTTTTTTCCTGTTTTTTTTTGTTTTCCTTTCACGCGTTTTTTCAAGCACAAGATAGATCCTGGTTTTGTCTTCAAAGTGGACAACACCGTACCGAGTACCTTTTTTCGTGGCAGCGTATTTCTTCATAGTTTTTTCTGGAATAAGTAAAACCATTTTCATGCTGGTCAGTTGCGCAGGAGTAGTGTAATAATGGTGGCAACGTCGCTGGAAGACAATAGGAGGTAGAAATTTAGAGGACGCATCACAAATTAGATCGGCTTTGAAGTGAATTTTGATTTTGGTAAAACAAAACCCCCGTTTTCCCTGCGTTGAGGCAGCTTTACAACAAATCACTGTAGAGATGACAAAGAAGAGGTCCGAGTTAAATACATCTTGAATTTCATTGAAAGCATTTGTTTCCCTGAACGGCTGATTTTCAAAAAATCAAAATGAACAGCTAGTCTATAACATTAGGGTGGTACAAAAATAATAAGCGTTTTACGAGTTCTCACTTTGAGGTACTACAATTTTTGAAGAAATTTGCATATATGAATGATATAAGAACTGTCAGAATCAGCAAACTCCTCAATAAAGCACACATTCATTGCACTAGTATCACAAACAGGCGGAGCGATAGGTTCAAAACAATTTTTTGACACCTCGTTTTTGTCGAATCATAACTCCCTTTAATGTTTGTTAGTATGAATGGTAGATAGCCGAGATTGTAGCCGCAAGCCGATAGTACAAATAAAATTGCAGAGGGCTTCTATAAGAAAGAAAACAGCAATTTATTCTTTCCTAATGTTGTTCTTTTTATTTTAGAAATTATTCGACAGGAGTATTTCAAAAACAGATATGCTTGACCATCTACAAATTCGAACCACTTTTTGCTTCCAAGCTCTGTGTCAGCTCGCTGGCATTGCAACTATTTTATTTCTGCCTGCAAGGAATGCATGCTTATTCGAAGTGGCCTTTTTAGATGTGATTATACCATTGAAATAAGTGTTTCCAAATCTGTCTTTCTTATCTGCAGAATGCTAACGGACATGGAGTTGTGAGCGCTTAGTGGAGCAAAAAAGCGAATGTGCAAGTAGGACAAAAACAGCCGTAGCTCTAGCTCTTCAATATAGCAGTGATAATCATCACTTTATCCAAAAAATACTCTAAAATAAGAATTATATCACACTTGGTTGGATTATTCGAGGGTCTAAGATTTAGCAACTCATTTTATCCAAAATGCACATTTAATTTTTGGCTCCAAGAACACTCACAACTCCTCTTCCACGAACGTTCTGCAGATAAAGAAAGCAGATGGAATGGAATCAGCGCTTTATGTCTTTTAATATGGCATACACCTCATTTAGAAAGGCCACTTTGACCAAACAAGCTCCCCTTATTAGTCACCTACGATTAGGTCTATATGGAGCACTTGTAATGGTCATCTTTAGCGCACAAGCAAGTTAATGGTTGCTGAATAAAGATCTCGATTTTCTATTCCCAGATCGCCAGTTTTACTCAAAATTTTATACCTATAGCATAGATCCAGTCTTCTTTATACTGCGGAGGGAATTCGTTTAATTATACTGGCCGGTGCCGCCTTTACACGTTTTAGCGCAAGTGCGCCTAGTCTGCTACCTTGTCATAATCATTTTCAATACCGTACGAGAGTTGTTCAATGCTGCTCAGAGTTAGCCAAGATTCTCCGCTTGGAAGTATATCGTCTAAGTAGTGTGATGCACTGATGCTTTCGAACTATACATAAATAACTCTACCTAGGAGCAAGAATTACTCTATATCTTTGCTTATGTTAGATTTTTCTATTCCTTTTTTACTGATAGTTCGCCTACCATATGTTTCCTTTTGATTTATTCGAATGTTTACAGCATGTGAGCTTATCAAATAAAGTAAGACCAAATAGCTTTGGTAGCTCCGCATTACACCTCAAGCCGACGACTTCAGTGTATGCATTATTATAAATCAAACTCAGCCGCAAAAGACGTTTTGTAAACTCTGGGCACTGTGCTAAAAGGATCTGCAGATAACATAAGCTGTTTTTTGGCGGTCGCTGAGGCAGATTATTGAACTGTGTGCTTACTCTTGTCTCTGATTACTGTCCATGCTTGCTAATTATTACAAAAGTACGTAATTTACTACTTACGACATAACAGCTTATGTACTTCTTTTCACGTATTTCACAGGAAATATATTTTATTTTTTATTTATTCTATACGCTCAATGGCGTTCCATACAATAAAACAAAAAGCAATTATTCATATCCTAACCGCAATGATCGTGCATCATGTAGTCTGGGTCTAATCTTAATAAAAGTGTGATGAAAGCTTGTATTTGACTGCTTCATGATTATGGTTATCAGGATTGAGTAATGTGATCCATGGAGACGTACCCATGCCCCCTTTTGCCAGCAAAATGCTTTTGTTTTTTTTTAGCAAACAAGGCTTGATGGTCGATACTGACCTCACCAAACCAGTAAATCAGGGAGAGCAATGACTCCAAGTGAATTACAATAAAGGCTGTAATGATGAATAACTCATACATGAGCGCAAAGATCAAGTTAAGTTATTGTAATCTATGGAGATGGCAATCATGCCAACTAATTTGCCAGCAGAAGCTCTTGCAATAATGAAGCAAAGCGGGGCTGGGTTGGTGGAGTAATACTAATCAACCTTGCCCAAATGATTCCGGGGAGAGTCCAATGGCTCCGGAAGAATAACAAATTCACTTTTTTGTAATTCAACTAAAAGCAAGTCAACAAGCTATAATTATTGGAAAGAGAAGTAAATTGATTAGACCTGAACTAACATGATGGCAAGACTTGGGGTTAGTAAGACATTTGGAAGAAAATAATATTAAAAAGACACAAATTTTTAGTTGTATTTGGGTATGCAATTGTAGTCGGATCATGTAATCGCACATGGCCAGCTATAGCAATACAGATGTCAGTATCGTTATCGTATCAGTATCGTAGAGTGATTGTTTAATATTAAGTGCCTTCAACATTTTATTTAGCAGCATTCTAGATTTACTTTCCCCCAACTCTATTTGAAAAAGTCTATCACACTTTTCGGGGCGTCAAATTTACAAATGAGAAGATCTTTGAACCTCATTCCTCCACCTGGTATTGTGTTGGAGCGATAAGCATACTTAGCACTTGCGCATCCATAATCTGTCAAGTTCTCTTCTTTTATTTGCTGAAATAAGAACGTGAGGTGGTTGCGCTCTTACAAAATAATAAGTTAAAGAGGTGTGCATTAAAGTTCGCACTACCTTATCTAATGTTTTGGTATTGAAAGCACTTACGTGAAGCTTCACGCAACTTGGGCTTCCTTATATGAAACTAGTTTTTGACATGTGATACGTGATGTAGGGGAGTTCATTAATTTTGCAGAGAAACAAAGAAAGCAAGCGACCAAACATCACAAACTATAAAGTGATCCAAAAATCGAGTTTCCACATTTTCATAAAATGCAACTTTCGCCTTTTCTATCGATTTGTACGGTAGTCAGAAAATCTTTATTAGCTTTGCACAAGCACCTTGGCAGCTCTCCGTACTATTCCCCCAATCTTGCCTCCTGTAATACCTCAGAGGCTTTTCTTTCGTTTTTATATGAAGGCGAGACTTTAGAGATTGATTAGAAAGAGTTTAGCTCGCAACCGCTTTTCAGAAGCATCGCAAAATTGCTCGAAAAGCCAATCTAATATCCTCTTGCTGCTATCTAACTACTAATTTTCAATGTTCGAGTGTTTAGAAGAAGCAAAAACAATGTACAGAACATCTGAGTCCGCCATAATATTAAGTTGGCAGATAATTTCTATCAAACTTTTTGCTTCATCTTGTAAAGCTCAAAGGCTTTTAAAAGATCTCATGCTCACAGCATGTGGGTATGCTCAGGGATTCGCGCCGTGCGAGCGGTCCTCGTATAAGGACTAGTGTACAAGCGGTCGACCACCATAAAACTTCAGTGCGTGCGGAAAACAGTTGAAGCGCCGTCTGAGCGGCAGGTAATGTTACCGTGCAAACGGCCGGCAACACATTTGCTCGAGCCAGCTGCCAGCAATGTGTCCGTTGGACTGGTCTGGGCAAATGTAATATGTTCAGTAAAAAACAAGATGACACTTTACATGCAGCTGTCCACTTAGAGTTAAATCTAAAAATGGAGTAGATAATTATCTAAAAAAAACAGAATGAGCTTAGTGGTGGGTACACGCCAGAACTTTTTTGAAACTGTCAAACATCTACATGTTTGAGATGTCAATATTCTGACACGGGCTAGGGGGTTGCCTTCTTGTGTAGTTCTAGCCAAAGATGGTGCAAGGAAAAAAAGCAACGTCCTTATTTGAAAAATTCAATCGAATAACGAAAATGTACCATGTTTCATTTTACATATAAAGCTGAATGACTCTCTCTCTCTCTCGTGTGTGTGTGTGTGTGTGTGTGTGTTGTGTGTGTGTGTGTGTTGTGTGTGTGTGTGTGTGTGTGTGTGTGTGTGTGTGTGTGTGTGTGTGTGTGTGTGTGTGTGTGTGTGTGTGTGTGTGTGTGTGTGTGTGTGTGTGTGTGTGTGTGTGTGTGTGTGTTCCGAATAGAAATTTTCATTTCTGAACCGATCCGGACCAAACTTGGCACACATACACTTCGGGGCGGGGCGGGTGTCATAGTCTACTTTTCGTCATCGGTCGATATCGATCTTTATCGATCTTTATCGGTTTCTGCAGAGTTCACCTACGCTGGAAGTTGGCACAAGGGGTAATCGAGCATGCTGATTACGAATACAATTTTTTTGCAAAGTTTGAGCCACGGGGCTGGGAGTTGACACAATGGGTAATCGAGCATACTGATTACGTAAACAACACAAGGAACGGGAAATAAAGTGTAGAAGCGGGCACAGGGAAACTGTACAGGGATAGGGATGGGAACTTTATTACAGGTTTTGACAGGGAAGAGCGGAGCCGGGTAAGCAAGCTAATGCTACATAATTTATAGTGCTTCTCAAAAAGAAATTATACTATCAATAAAATTGAAATCAGCGTTTCTGGCCACTCGCAGTTTCTAACAAGCATTCCCTAGAGTGATTTCGTTAAAAACGGGATGAATAGTACAGCAGTAGCGCATGTTCGAATGTTTTTGCTTTTTCAAGATGAATCAGAAAAAAGAAAATTAGGGTATCTAGAAATTTTATCTCATTTTTTCAGACGCAAAATAATCAAAGGGCGTGACCTTGCAAAACAAGAGTAGATATAAAATTCCATGAAATTATAAATAAATTTTTGAATGGAAAATAAAAACAGCTTTTTCTTCATGCGAGCAATTCAAAGTTGAGAAACGTACTTCAACTATACTGAGATTATTATCTGTATTGATAGAAACGCACCGTGCAAAGTCCACGCTTTACGAACTTTGGAATTGCTTGTGCAAATTCTTGCTGCCTGCAAAGTTTTGAAGTGATGTCAAAATATGGAAGCTTCAATGACTCACGTCTCCCAGACATGAGCATACATCTCCAATTGGATTTCATTGGAACGTAGATCTTTCATGTCTGCATATAAGCTCGCAGTTTCTTCCTGGTTGCAGTTGTACTGCTGCAAAGATAAACCAAACATAAATTACAGTCCACTATCAGTGCTCAGAGAGTTTCAACTAGTTTCAACTGAGAGTTTTGCCAGAAAACACCCTGATCCTCAAATACGCTACATACAAAGGTATAATAAAGTAAAGTAGTCAAGAGCTCATTGGAATCGTCAAAATTAGATCCCGGTGACATCACCGTAGCCTGGTCATATCTCGCTCCAGAGTAGAGTTCATAATCCAAGGGTAGCATTCGATTCAGCACGGAGCGGTGCATGTTCTGATATATAGAAGATTGTTGATGCTGGCGCTTGTTTGGACACAGCAGGAGGTCACATTAATCGCTTCAGATTTTTGCTTACGGTAGGTTGCTCAGTGAGTGCGATGAATAAGCACGCTGAGTAACCACTAAGCAAAATCTTGAAACGATTCGTGCAATTTTCTAATGTGTCCAAGCGGGCACATACAGAGCTGGCCAAAAATTCAAAGCCACTCCGAAATTTTGGCATATCTTATTCTGTTTCGCATAGAACGGATCAAATTTTGACAATCAAAACACAATGCTTAATATCATGTCAGAAAACCTTGCAGTTTCATGCACACAGAAGGAGGCTATGGCGAAAATGCCGGGTGTGGTAAAATCGAGGTTGGACAAAACTTGTAGCCACTTACTGCTAAAAAAAACTTGTCACCTTATAGGGGCTACAGATGCATATCTAAGCCTGGAGATATGCGGGGAGCAAGGTTGCTTGAACGTTAAATGACCGCAAAAATTGGACAAAACATAAGGTTTTTGAGAAGTAATCAGCTGATCCGTGCTCTTATGAAAAAGTTGTACCATTTGGACGGTGGCGGCTTGCCAATGCGACAGAAAAAGGTTACTTGGCATGTTTCAAAATCTACCATCATCTTGACTCGAATTCGGACGACCTTCAGCTTAAAATATGAACTCAGCGGTCTAAAAAGTTCTCAAAATTGATGAGAACACTGTTTTTACAAAGATAAGCACTTGCCTGAAACTCCAGACCTTTACTGGAAACATGGATGCGTTACTACTAGGAAAAGTTTGCGCGAATCTCACGACTGATAATTCCCTTTGGCTAATCGAACATTTCCTAGATGTGGTAAACGCAAAAAATTTTCTCTAGCAGTAACCGCTCCATGTTCCCAATAAAGGTGTTTTTGAGCTAAAGGCTGCGTTCATACTGATCCCGAAGTCCGAGAACAGTTCCAGCACAGTGCTCGAGCCAAGCGCTGCGCTGGAAATGTTCCTGGACTTCGGGATCAGTATGAACACAGCTAAAGGTCGTCCGAATTCTAGTTGAGATGATAGTAGATTGCACTGCTCTGCATATCTCCAGGCTTAGAGGTGCATCTGTAGTCCAGATACTATAAGGTGACAAGTCTTTAAAGACTTCTAACAGAAAGTGGCTGTAAGTTTTGACCAGCCTCGGTTTTACCACATTCGGCTTTTTCGCCACAGCCCCCTTTTGTGTGCATGAAACTGCAAGATTTTTTGACATAGTATTGAGCAACGTGGTTTGCATATAATGTCGAATTTTGAATCCGTTCTATGCAAAACAGAGTAAGATATAGCAAAATTTTGGAGTGGCTGCATAACTTTTGACCAACATTGTATAAGACATGAGGTAGAAGATTCTAGAACATAAGATCCTACATATAAAAAGATGTGCCGTGCCGAGCTTAGTCGAATAGAGTCCTTGGATTAAGAATTCGTCCACTTTAAAGCGAGATTTGGCCACGCTAAGGTGGTTTCAATCGGGAGACTGTGCGTCGGTTTTTTCAAAAAATACGAGCGATGTTGTATACACAGTACATTCCAGCATGAGAGTATTCATTCGTCCTTGTCTCTTGCTACAGACATCAATAGACTTGTCGTCAGGGGTTGCTCCCCATTCAGATGCGAGAATCCGTTTCTTGATTTCTCAGGTGTGTTCTGTTCTACAAACACTTCGGCCATCTCGTTGGTCGTTCTCCATCGAGGACGAATTGTTGCGCGACAAATCCATTTACATGTCTTGAGTGTCTACCATTCGCCTGCTCTTTTCAAGACGTGAGAGATGTGACCGGTACATCTCGTTGAGTCATAAAATTGAAACATTCGTTGTCGGGAGTTCTTTACGAAATTCTGCGCGGATTCTTCACTCAGCTTTACGTGGTTGCAGCAGAGACTCCGGTCTCAGCTGTGTAATTGAGCGTTGGAACGCTGAGACGAACAAGTGGGCTCGTTCAGGCCCGTAAGATGGTTGTTGGCATTCTTCAATGGCCCGAAAGCGGCCAAGCTGCTTTTCTTCTCTTAATAAGTTCTCCTCAATTCGTTCTCCATGTTCATATCCAGTGACGTAGAAAACGTCTTTGCGGTGGGATAACTTGAATCTTCATTTTTCTTCATTTCATACCTCCTCGTCTCGCTTCAATGCTTCAAGTAGAGAACATGTCGTTTGCGAATCGAGAATTGAAAAGAATTGCCCTCTCTCGTCCAGGTGTCTTCGTCATCCACCGCAAGGCCGCGGTGAACAGCTTGGGCATCATGTCGCCTTCGACGAACCCCTTCTCAATGGGAATGATTAGTTACTGTGGAAAAGCTGCATCGTCGTTGCACAGTACTTTAGATTGGATAATGTTCGTACATTAGTCGGCGTCAGGACCGGTCTCATAAACCGCCATGGCAGACCTTCTTTGACTCTTGAATGATCGTACGTTTGCATAAAGAAGGCAGTAATATAATAGAAAGAGGGACTTGGACATCGAGCAAGCTCCATCTTTGGTTCATGAGATGTTGATCTCCACGTTGAGTCGCTTTGTTGGGCGATTCCCATGTCCACCGACGATGTTCTTTATTTAAGAAGGCAGATCTGCTCGAGAAATTCGTGCGGCAAAAGCCCTGCAACGTTTTCGTCCCGGAACCCAGATCCAAACTTCCTGGTATACACCTCTTTTTGGCATTCCCATTTCTGCCTTACACCTGGAGTTACAAAAAACTTGTAGAAGTCCTCTTTGCGGACGATTATTACGCCTTCGTAGAAAGTATCCAATTTCCAATCAGTCGCTGATGTTGTTAGGCGTAGCACTAGGTAACGCCAATGGTCTTGTGATGGGGAGGTCGTAACCAGTTGGCCAGTTGTTAATAGGATGTTACGCGAATCGACAAGATGGACAATAGATGGTGGAACGATAAAAGCAACGTTTCAACTTTCGTAAGGGTACTTTTTGATCTCTAGAATAGGCTCCCATTATTTTACTGTTGCATGTCTTTCTTTTTAGCATCTGCGGAAAGAGGACGTTCTTGATATGCTAGACAGCGTGAAGAGCGCGTAATGTTTGATACCGCATGTGTCTATGCTAGACAGCGTGAAGAGCGCGTAATGTTTGATACCGCATGTGTCGTTAATGTTCGGTTAAATAGGCCCTGAGCAATTTGACATCGATCGCACCAATCGTATACCTGGACCGTTGGTGGAATTCAATGTTTAAAGGCAGTGTCCGGGCAAAAAGTCGATTTTGAGGTTTTGTGCTTACCTGGGCCTATTCACTATGCTGAATCCGAAAATCTACATTGGAAAGCGCAGAAACGGCAAAAAAGGGCTCTAATGCAGGAGGGAAACCAAAAGTAGGCGGGGTCTTCCCCACTGTGAATTTCGCGGTCCCGGCTTCTGAAGCGATTTTCTCAACTCCGCTAGCCCTCTGAGATCTCCACAGGCCAGGTGCAAACGCATGACTTGAAATCGGGACCGAGAAGATCGCTCCGGAAGCTTGGAGCATGAATCCGCAGTGGGGAAGACCCCGCCCACTTCTGATTTCCCTTTTGCGTTAGATCCCTTTTTCGCCGTTTTCGCGCTCTCCAATGTGCATTTTCGGATTCAGCGTAGCGAATAGGCCCGGGTAAGCAAAAAACCTCAAGATCGAGTTTTTGCCCGGACACTGCCTTTAAGGTTTCTTTTTGCTTTTCTCTTTGAACGGAATAATAAACCTTTTTTGAACCAGAGCAAGATTAGCAGATCGCGCTCTTGTCTTCCAGGCTATCCGCGACCTTGAAGTGAACTGAGATTTCCATGAATTTTTACCTAAAGCCAGGCGCGCGAAGCACGCCCGGATTTTGGTCAGCAAAAATTACAGCGATCCCGAAAACCCACTCGTCAAGGCCTCAATACTTCAAATAGTTATTGTTTTTTTTTGTCTGCCTGTTGTCAAATCTTCTTCATGACTTGATAAAAATTCATGATTACCCTATTTTCATGTGTATAAGCCGCACCCTTTTCGCTCTAAGGGCTAACACGTCAAAGGACTGACTGTCACATGGAGCGCGTTAAGTGAGAGCAGTATGCGATAAGGCGACCGCTTTGCGAGACAAATGCGCGGCGGCACTGGATCTGCTCGCATTTAGAGCAAAAAGGGTGCGGCTTATACTGGGAACTTGATTGCTAGATAGATGCTGTTTTGACTATTGCTTAGAGCGTATATATATTTCTTTGTTTCATTTGAATTATTGATAAACAGCACAAAAAACGAATCAATATCTTTCATATTCTTCTCAGATCAAGTGAGCTTGAGAGAATTGATAGCTTGTAGAAGAAAAGTTGTGCACCTTTGCAGACAGCTTCTAACGCTGTTTTTCTACAAAAGCGCCTCCTCAAACTCCCAATTAAGGCTGCGTTCATACTGATCCCGAAGTCCGGGAACAGTTCCAGCACAGTGCTCGAGCCAAGCGCTGCGCTGGAAATGTTCCCGGACTTCGGGATCAGTATGAACACAGCTTAATTTTCGAAAGTCATTTTGCGTGATGCAGCAGGACGAGCTGCATAAAATCATATATATTACATTATAAGTCGCCGTCCAAAATTTGAATTCTCAGGTTCTGCAATTCCGAAAAAACTAGTTCTTCTACATAAATTATACAAATCAAGTATACGTGCAAAAGTATTGAAACAGAAAGTTGTAGAGGATTGGTTCTCCGGAAAAAGGATTGTCGGGTTCTCGCAAATTCTCGACTTCATCAGGGAATCAGGGGCATGACCTGGGCCCGGATTAGCAACATGGAATTGAGAATCTGGGTGGACGGTGTGTTAAACCAAATTTTCGAGTGCGGAATTTAGAATCGATCTCGTTTCGCTATCTTGGAACTTTGCCAAAACTATTCCAAACAAACAGAAGCAAAATACCTATGAGAAAGTTACCAAGCTTAGGAAGCAGTTAGGCGCTTATTGAATGAAAATATATTTGAAAATACTTTGAACAAGCAAGCTCTATGCTTAGAAATTCTGAGTAAATTTATAAGACTAGTTCATTTTACTATGGCAAACTTTTAATTTGTTAGATTGAACTAACGAGACGGAGAGCTCTCTTGTCACTGATGGTAGAGTTGGCATGCTGTGCCAAGATGTAATTCAACTAATTAGTGACCGGATGGATTGGGACTTCTTCTGGAATCGATCCATGATATTGGTTAGCACTGGATATATATCAACTTAGCTATATTTGAGTAAACCTTTAACTGTCTCAAATATATTGTTATCGTTTTTCTCTCTGAGCGCGAGCAAAATGTCTTATATTTCTGTCAAAATTGACGCTCAAGGAATTATTGCATTGCCGACTACATTTGCGCATAAAATGATGACAATGTGCTATGGTCATTTTTATCTATACAATATGCAAGTTGGTTGCCGTATTCGCAAGCTGCTTCCTCGCGAATGTCGTCGTCATAGCAAATGCTGTAACTACACTCAACTCTTTTGATCTGTAGCAACAGGGCTGTTTTTTGATTCGGAAGTGCAACTGACCATCTGACCATTTCTTAAGTGCTCCGTGCAATGGCGCTTGATTTGTTCAGTGAGGTACGGTATTAATCGTCCAGCACGCTTAGTACTAATTCCATGTAGAAATCCACACTCATCTCTTTTGACCGCGGAGGCGGTTGAGAGAACAGCCATAGACTGATATAGAGGTCGTTAGACTTTAATTATCTAGATAATTTTACCTACAGCAAGCACAAAGCAGTAGAACATTTCGCGTTTGAGGCTCGTGCATCGACCAAGCATTTTCATACAGTTCAACATCCACAACAATCTAAAAACAGCTAATGAATGAAAGAATACATATAAAACGTGCTTGTTGATTGAATTTAGTCGCAAAGTAATGTCCGTCTCGAATTTTTCTTGCCCATGCCTGCATTAAGAATGAGTACAACTTCAGGCACAACAACAGATGCGTGAAAAGTTGCTATCTATGAAATAAAGGAGAAGTGTTCACATTAAGTTTGCAATTTTTTACTGAATATCCAACGTAAGTTACAGCTGTCCCGCTTGGAGTATGCTTTGCAATCGGACATGCTAGTCAGTGCAAGAAATTCGTCAGTTTACGAATCCTCTTGTGATTTTTGTACAGTAAAGACAAACGAATGTTGGGTCTTCGTAAGACCATGGCGCCTTTGTTTTTGTGGTGTGCCGCGTTTTTAGCAATAAAAGCGCCTTGCTCTTCAAGACCCGCTCTTCATACTCCAAGCTAACCTAGCAACCTTATAAAATACCTCCCACAGAACGTGGAAAATTTTCGTGGATGTGTCACAGCTTTGAAAAAAATTGCCAGGAATTCCGCTAGATTTCCGAAATTCTGCGAAAGTATAAATCACGCGAGTCACGCAAACTACGCAGCACCACGGCTTCCTTTGAATTGTATATGCTCTGAATCCGAAAAAAAGGCATTGTGTCTAGCTTCGGCGAATCTTTTGATGTCCTCATTTTCCGTTTCAGTTTTCTCAAGTTTTTCTGCGGGCGTCCATTCCCAAAGATGTAAGGCAGCGCACACACGTAAAGGACTCCGTGAGCGCTGTTCGAATCGCGCGCTAGAGAGCAGTCGGAGCCCTTTTTTCAGACCTAGAAGAGCGGTAAAAATCTTGTCTCTCAAACTGTTTTCACCGTAACCCTAGAATATGAAGCCTAGCTAAGCCCATATGATTTCCGTAATCAGCAGCTCAGATAACTCTATGAACTATTTTCCCATCAAGTTTGGGTCGCCTGATTTTTCCTCGTTTTACGCTTCGAAGTTCGCCGATGGATTTTGGCTGAAACATTGATGTTGATTTGAACGGAAACATTGCTCGGAGACTTTTCGGACCTGCTGTTTACAAAAATCGTAGTTTTTGGGATTACAGCGAGTTCTAGCAGAGATATGATGAAGAAGCTGTAGCTAAGCCATGGAAGTTCGTAATTGTGTGCGCTTTTCGCGTATCTACCAAACGACTTGCTTGCCTAACTTTAATGTAGAAGTCAATAGGAACCTCTGCTATTGAAAGTTGTATGTCTCGGGGTCGAGTTTATAACAGTTGCTATGTTACGAGCCTACATCACCACGTCCTTAATGGATATTATCGCATACTTCGTCGATCCTCCTTCATGAATGGTTACATAACACGCTGGTTGCAAATTTTAAGTGTTCCGCTCAAAAAATCCCACCGTCTTAGATCTAACTAGATAGTTGAAGCCAACGCAACCACCAGCCAATACAGTTGGATCCCTTGGAGGAAGTGGATTTGGATTCCTTGAAGGAAGTGGATGTCGCAGAATTTTGGGAGTTTTGCTTAGGTCCGCAACATTCGCGAAAATTTTGCACCTTTTTGAAAGGCATTGTAGCTTGAGCGGCAAAAAATGGCAACTTTCAACTGCACTTTCGCATTCTTTCCCTGTCACTCAAATATTCTTTGCATGAATAATTAAAGTAATTTGCGGCAAGCAAGGCTGACACAGTGATGTTACGCCCTTATAAGGACAGTTTGACAAGGTCTCAATAATTGATATATTTAACCGCTTGAGTTTCATGCTCAACTACGGAATTTCCGAGCCTTAACTAATAAAGAGCTTCTATTTTCTGCAATGGTTCTATACAAGCCCTGATCAGCCATTTTATGTCTCCACACAAGAAAACTTTGGCGTAGAGACTCTCTGGACCTCGCTAACGCGACACATCTACACAAAAGGTAAAATAGCGCCTTATCCCGTTCTTGTAGCGATCTCCTTTACAACAAGCTGATTTCATAAGCTTCATAATCCCATAAATAGTTTCTCATCAGATAGTCCCATTGATGATTTTTTTATGTGGAGCCAAGGATGAAGATGTCATAATCGCTTATTTTTGCCTCTCAAAAAATTTTGGTTTGAGAACTATAAAAAAGGTTGAGGTTTGCTTTAGGTGCTTTTGCATAAGATTTGCTTTAAAATCAAGAAGAGGGTCCTGAAAAGCGAAAATGAATGCGGATGGTACGTGTACTTTGCCGTGAACCAACGCTTCATCGAAAAAGACAAAGAAGGATAAAAACGCTACGAACTTACAAAAAGCCTAGCACTTTGAGCACTATCAGTGCAGAAATTTTTTCTTCTCTTCGGCAGTCATGTTAGGACGGAACTCTTCTACAAGTGGTGCGACAGTCGCTGAAGCTTGCAACCTGCACTCCTTTACGCCACACTCCTCTAATTCTCAAAATTTTTGTTTGATATACTTAAGGAGGCCTTGATAACAAGCAGATAATACAAATCAGTTGTAAGCCAATGCGTCATTCTTGAATTTTTTAGTGGAGTTTTAGTTGTATTAGATTGTCTCATAAGTTTTTTTCAACTTTGAATTTTTACCGCGATAATTAACGCGCTTCTCAATTCTGATTAGAATGCAGGGACCATTTAATAGAGCAAAGCAAGCTGTTCAAGATGCCATGTAGCTGTTTGCACCACCTGCACCATATCACGAATTAGAAGCCGAAATCTGAGAACTTTCGGATGCCCGAAAAATCGAAAAATTTTATATCTTCGTTCAAAGAAAGGTTACCAGATCCTAAACTTGCTCACGCATGTACACCCCACATAAGACATTCATATACGCCGTTGCCGTGTTTGTTTTCGTGCTTAGAACCAAGAAAACCGAAATCTCCAAGCTTCCAAAAAAGCGATGCTGTTCTACCGTTACCGTTCTCACACAAATAAATGTATACTACAGGCCTTCATAAATACACAGGTAAATTTACATTTCCTGTAAGGGCTAGTCTCTCAGAAATACCGAATTCAGCTCTTTCTGCTAGTGTATTTCGCGTTAAATCCAATATTTCTAGGGAACTGGGCCTTCCAGGAAGCTGAAAATTTACCTGTGTATTTCTGTGGCCGTATTCATCAACGAAACCCGTAGGTTCCGGAACCCACTGAGTTAGTGCTTTTGATGAATATCGATTCTACTCCAGGGAGGAATCGATATTTATCAAAAGCACTAACCCAGTGGGTTCCGGAACCCACGGGTTTCGTTGATGAATACGGCCACTGAAGGCCTGTAGTATACATTTATTTGTGTGAGAACGGCGCAGCATCGCTTTTTTGGAAGCTTGGAAATTTCGGTCTTCCTGGTTCGAACAAGGGAATGGTCAGAAGTCGAAGTGGCTAATCCATACAAGTTGCATACTATTCGATGCAGCATAAAATGCTGATTTCAAATCTGTCTTCCATATCTGCAGAGCGTCTTTGTAGGCGAAGTTATGAGCAGCTTTACCGCGAAAAAGCCGTATACAAAAATTGCGGAATTAGGCACATTATTGCTCTTTAAACTCAACTCTAGGTACGGGTCATATGAAGTGACCTAGTTGCATGTTTTGGTTCAACACTAAGTCGAGAATGGCTTTGTACGGCCAAGTTTGCACTTTACAAGCATAATTTCTTAGCAAAATAATGACTTTCAACCGCTTATAATTTCGTCCACAAAAGCGCTCTGCAGATAGGGAAGACAGATTTAAAGTCAGCGTTTTATGCTCCATCTAATGGTATGCAGCTTGTATGGATTGGCCACTTCGATTTCTGACCATTCCCTTGTAAGCACAAAAACAAACACGGCAAAGGCATATATGAATGCCTTATGTGGGATGTATATGCGTAAGCAAGTTTAGGATCTGGTAACTCTTCTTTGAACGAAGATATAAAAAAATGTTCGATTTTTCGGGCATCCGAAAGTCCTCAGATTTCGGCTTCTAATTTGTGATGTGGTAAACCTGGTGCAGACACTTACACGGCATCTTGTACAGCTTGCTTTGCTCTATCGAATGGTACCCTGCTTTCAAATTAGAATTGAAAAGTGTGTGACTTATAGCGGTAAAAAGTCAAAATTGAAAAAACTTAAGAGACAACCTAATATTATGTTTTCGAGGTAACCCAATTTTTTAACAATCCGAAAGTTAGTCCGTTTTTGAGGCATGTCCTAAACCCGTTCAAAACATAAATAAATAAACCTCAAACAGCGTTTGAAGTACATTTTCTTCCTTTTTTTAGCATTGACATTACTGTCCCAATTCTTTGATGGTCGCTCCGTAATTGTCAGAAGCTCCAACCCATGATTTTGACCTACCTTCACTCTATTTTTTGAAATTATTTTTGACTTTTAGAAAATTTTTGACTACTGTTGGATAGAGTAGACAAAGCAAGACAATACATTTTGTGGCATTAACAATTATTTTTCCAAAATTTTTGAAATGATTTTTTGGTGCTACCATCAAAGATTTCGGAACAGTAAAATCACCACTAGAAAGAGGAAGAAATCATGCATAACACTGTTTAGAACGTTGGTCTAGCTTTTTTAAACGCTTTCAAAATATGTCTCAAAAATGGCAGAAACCCTCGAACTGGGCTGATATTGGTTTTTCAGTCTCGTAGCATGAGATCGTGGAATCTTCAAGTACATTCTTTCTCTCTTTCCAGCAGTTACCTTTTCTCTGCAATACATAGAAGTTGCAAAAAATTTGTCATATTTCCCAATTTTTCGAGTAAGCGCTGTTGTAAAGTTTGCCCTCTCCAAGCTATGAAAGCACCTTCAGAATCCTTCTCAGACAAGAAAATCGGTAAAATTCAGACTAATAAAGGGTTGCAAACTACGTCGTCCATCTCACCATTCGGTGTGAATATGGCTTCTGAAGAATAGCTGCGGAAAATAAAAAGAAACCCGCATCGAACAGTGCTTAAAATGTTCCCTTATGTTTCCTCTGAGGAGTTTGTGGGTGAGTTCATATAACTGGCTAAACATTTTCATCAACCCAATA